AATTAGCTGAATGGTTATTAGAGAATCGGCGGCAGAATAATGTGGTATGTGACATCAAGCAGATTTAATAAAATTTAATACTATACCATGGTACTTTACAAGTATCTCGTGTAACAATCTGATCATAGCCCCATGGTACTTTGCATTCCATGGGCTTCAAAATGGTGGGGTGGTACTATGCTAGGGGTGGTACTTTAGTCCGTAAAATACGGTATTTTACTCCCAATTAACTTGCTTTATTCAACATTAAACTCACATTCATATTATTAATTGAATTGAGGCGTTAACTAAGTTTTATCCCGAGTTGACAATCGAATATCAAAGTAAGCGTGTATTCGAAACGTTATGATGCATGATTTTAGATATTTATTACTGAATTTAATAGTTTTTTTTTGAAATCTTGAACTCGTTTTAGGGAATCTATCATGCGTATCGTTGGTTGATTGTTCTTACTTTCGTATCACACTATAACTGTTAAGATGTAGTACATACTTTGATTAATATTAGGGGTACTTGATTTATTATTATAGTTTACTTTCATGTCGCACTATGATTATTTGAGACTGCCACTCAATTGTTGAGATCGAATTTAACTGCTTCTTAGACATAAATCACCGAGTTTGGAGTAGTGTATAGGCAATGATTAGTCGGGATTACAGTACATGCTAATGATAAACATATTACAAAACTATCGTGATAGTTAAACTTTTACTTTGCGAAGATTTACTTCGTATAGTAGAGATAGCAATATTATGTTATTTAAAAGTAAAATTGAACTGTACCAATTATATTGCTCTACTTTTGACGGAGTTGTACTAATAACGCTTGTTCGAGTCACCTTGTCGAAAGGATTTTAATGGTCTTGATTTCTAAAAGACAACAGCTTTTTCAGAGAAGTGTAACAAATCTCCGACTCTTAAATTTGTATAGTATCGTTTGGATATTAAGCCGCGTCGAGTCTGGTATTGGTGATACATCACGTGTAACATTGCAAATGAAGACTCAGCCATAACTAATACGGTATTTTTACCACCTTTCGGACGATTGATTATTACTTACCGAAACAAATTCAAATAGGTTGTCTTAGCCTTAAAGCGTAGTTTAATTATAATAAAAATACAAATTGCTGTTTATTTTTATATAACCGAAACCTTATCAAAAACAAAGTCTACCAAGAAAGATTCTTAATTTAGACCTTCAAATCTGTGGCGTTTGACGATTCTAACCCCCCGAAATTATCCTTTCTCCGGGGGTGCATTACGTACGCTTACCTATCTAATTAATTTTTAGGTCATCATGACATAACGTGACAAGCCATTGTCGATAGAATTTGTTCGCACCAAGTCTTAAATATAATAATATGTGTCCTTATACCCGTGCTAATATTTACATAAACAAAGCACAATACCCCAATTGTTCCCGTCATCTCAAGAGGCGGAATTGGGGGAATATCCATTTATGCGAGTAGGAGCACTGTTCCCGGACGACCTGAAGAAGTCGGCATCTTCCGTACAATACTTATCAAAAGCTTCTTTTACAAGTTGCGCCTTTTTCATTGGCAAGAAAAGAAGTCATCAGCAATAATAGGCAAAATTTTGTATTGCACGTCAAAAGTAGAATAAACCGCCGAACGTGACGTCTCACCTTTTCGGTATTTCGGACAAACACGCGAAGGTACTTCTCTTGATAACATTCGGGCACCATTCGAGTATCCTCGTATCCTGCAAATAGCATGACCAGGAACGACCCCAACAAAAAGAATAGATTCGATTGTTGGATTAACTCGTACAGCAGCTATGATACACACCCACGGACACGAAACGTACTTGGTACCCCGTCATCGTAAAACTTGATATGGTCTAACGGGTTTTTATCGCGCATTCCAAAATGTATAACTTCAGTTTTCACAATAACATCGTCTGCGGAGAAGCCCTTGTTACCACATTCGATAATTTTTTCGACGTATTTCTGATCGGGGGTCTAAGGTGGCGTTCATATGTATCAGCCTTCATCATTCTCAAGGTCTATAAATTTAATGCTTATTTTATGACTTACCTTAGCATGCGCAGCACGACAATCAGCAGGAATAAGATATTCTCCAACAAATTTGTACAATTGTCTCTTTCGCAATCTTCTCAATATTTCTCTTGATGTTCCTAGTTCCTATTGAAACAATGGGAGAGAATGTAACAGGATAACTAAATTGAGACAATCTTTCTAATACTGCTATTACTGAGACTGACTACTCTCTCATATTTGTTTGCCTTATTTAGCATACCTTATCTGAAGAGTGCTCGATTCGTCGAAGGATCGTGTCATCCAACATAACGTACAGCTCGGGGTCTTCAACAGCCTGAGCAAGTTGATAGAAGTCTTTGGCCTTTATTAATGCATCCGCTATCATAAAATCGATCGCCTTTACTGTTATTCGTCGTAAGAGAAGGATTTTTAAGAGAGAATTGTGTAATATTTAGAAGACATAGGTATAAACTCTCAATCATTTGTTGACTTTCCTTCACATCGCCAAATTCCGATACTTACCAACTGGATGCGTGTAAACTCTCTTAAAAAGACTGTACCTTGCATGAAACATATCATACAAGTTTTGCCGTTCTTTGTACGGATAGGCTATCTGGTTATCCTCAACTTTCGAAAACAGCATCAGGCGATCGATATCGTGAACTTGTTTCATCCCGGTGTAATATGAATCGCGTTGGAGATAGTCAAACTTGTCAACGTCAACTGAATTACGCTCATTGGCTACTATATCGTATAAGAATGAGCCGCTGTAGAATGAGTTGGTCCGAAGGAAAAGGGTTATACATTATGGCGAGAGTAATAATACAAAAATGACAGACGTCATTACGGTTGCATGATATTACCATTTGTCTCCACTGATCAGGCTTTGGATGAACTTAATATCACTATCGTCCAAAAACTCGAGCTTGTTATCTGTAGCCAAGTGTTCTACCATCATCTGGGATGCCTCCTCATGGCTCCATTTTTTAGACAGTCTGGTGGAGGCAAAGATTGATATTAATACAGACTTGGAGTGAAAGTAAAAAATGAACAATAGAATAACGCATACCCTAGTTGCGGGACGACTAAGTCATCAAACACGTGACTGAATGGACCATGACCTATTCGAGGTAGGACGAATATGAATGTCTTTTTTTTTTTTTTCACACCCCCCCCCATCAAGAGCATACACATAATTCGTACAGGCTCTTCCACAGTACTGAAAAGCGTAATGTACACTAACCCAAGTCATGACATAATCCAGCAATAGTGACGCATTGGACATCCTTTTCGGTAATTCCGAGATCTTTTTGGTCACGTTGAAATCTTGAAATCAATGTATTTGCCAATACTCCTACACCTGAGAAAAGGGACCGAAGTTATAAGGGGGGTTGTTCTCTGAGGAATCTCACACCATCGATCGCTTATCCGTTCATTTTATTCATAAACTGATTTCTTTAACCACCACCAGTCTCTTATTACCTAAACAATGCTCAAATCGTGTGTGGACAGCGCCAGGAAAGACAAATTGTACGGATCCGAGTTGCCTGACATCGCGCAGTCTTTGAAATTGTGGCGTGTCGACTACATCCAACATCCACGGAGTTAGCTTCATAAGTCCCTATAATCCAATATGTAATTGGAGTCAATATAGAGCAGGCTACCAAGTAGGTCTGACATTGAATGACTCATGTTGTGCGCCCCCCTCTTCTCAACAGACGCACTATCTGGATAACTCACACAATTATTCACTTTCACCGAGTCATAGATTATCTTGGAGGATTTGTTACGGTATTTCGAAGAATCACGCACTCCCACTTTGTTGTCCATTATCTTGAGGATTCGTTATGTTTGAGATAAAAAATTCTTTCTGTCGTAGAAGGAGAAAGTAAGAATGGTTTTCGATATGTAGTAGAAAAGGTGGCAAAAAGTAGTTGTTGGCGTCAACCGGTTTGCGGTTATTTAAATAATTTTGTCTATTAGTCTATTGTTTATTATTCTATACTACACTTACTCTGATAGTCGTTGTTCTAAACTATACTGATTATCCCTATTCTCTTTTGCTCATCTAACAATGTCTAGTGTAACCCACCAAAATATATATTGCGTGTTTATATGTCACATGCACCTGACAAGTGCTGTTTATTACCATTATTGTAAAACAAAGTCTTTTATTTTAATTTACAGTATAAATTATTTAATTTTTAACAATGTCATCGACAAAATAGTTAATCGAAATAACCTCTCGTTTCATCGGTAATGTGATCATCGGTGCCCCAGCCCACATTCTATCAGAAAACATTACCCTTTGTGCGAGAATGCAGTTCGCCCCCATTGATTTACCGAGTTTGGCGCGGACGTTTCGGAGTTTATATCAATAACCCTAATATTCGATAACAATTTACGCCACATACATTTAACCGACCAATTACAATAAGAGAAATCCACATTCAGAATCGTATGTTGCACAAACGTTCCCATGACACGATATTTATTATGTAATGCGAGCTAATACTGTTACACCTGTTCTGAATATACAGTTCGAACATCTCTATCCCTAAATGCTCACCCTGTGTTTTCCCCTACAGAACCCCCCTACACGCTCGCTTGAAGTTCGCAAGACTTTTTAATGCACATTGTGTCGAATTTACGTATATAACAAAGAGTTAGTATGTATTATATTCTT